TGTAAACGTGTGCAATCGATATATTTATTATGCGTCTGGTAATTTGCGATAACGTGGACGATGTCGCGGAGTGGTCTGCGAAATACGTTTTGAAGAGAATCAACGATTTCAATCCTCATGAGAACAAGTACTTTGTTCTTGGTCTCCCCACAGGTACGTGATAATCTTTTTAAACATGTGTTTATCAATCGTGTGATATTAACGTTCTCCTGACAATCCTTTTTCGTTTCCTTTCCAGGAGGGACACCTTTGGGAATGTATAAAAAGCTTATAGAATATTATCAACAAGGCAAAATATCCTTTAAGTACGTTAAGACATTCAATATGGACGAGTATGTTGACTTACCGAGAGACCATCCCGAATCTTACCACTATTACATGTACAACAATTTCTTCAAACATATAGATATCGACCCGCAGAACGTGCATATACTTGACGGAAATGCGACGGATCTCGAAAAGGAGTGTGACAATTTCGAGAAAAACATTAAAGAGACCGGTGGGATAGAATTGTTCATTGGAGGTAAAAAGGCGACGGCCTCGTTAAATGCAGACCCGAGAGACTTTTCGGCGCGACTAGTTTCGTAAGCGACTTGTAAACTTGCAGGTATCGGACCGGACGGACATATAGCCTTCAATGGCCCGGCTCGTCGTTAGCTTCTCGCACGAGAGTGAAAACTCTCGCGCAGGACACCCTAGAAGCCAACGCGAGATTTTTCGGAAATGATATTAACAAAGTGCCGAAGCAGGCGCTAACGGTAGGCGTCGGTACGGTGATGGACGCTAAGGAAGTGATGATCCTTATCACCGGTTCCCACAAAGCTTTTGCCCTTTACAAGGCCATAGAGGAGGGCATCAACCACATGTGGACGGTGTCCGCGTTTCAACAGCACCCACGCACGCTTATAATCTGCGACGAGGACGCGACTCTGGAATTACGTGTGAAAACGGTCAAATACTTCAAGGTGATCTCTCAATCTGCCTCGTCACTCGCTGACTCGGCACTTTTTTTTTTATCGTCGGGTAGAGATTAAATTCAGGTATTGTGTTTGAAATTGCGTCTCGTATTCAATTTGTATGCTATTTAGGCGCTCAGTGACATACATCGCAAATTGATTGAGGAAGATGGAAATGCAATCCCCCGTCGCACACTGCAAAACAATTAAAGCGGTAGTTATCTTCATGATTTTTATACCCAGGATCAAAATTTTCTGAGTATTACCGAATTATGAGCGATACATATCCATTTTCCTTCCTAAAAGAGAAAGAACATATATTCTTTTTCTACAACAAAACTATATTAGATAAGATATTAATTCGGCATTTGTCTATTCTCATTTTTTTTGGTGCAAATTTGTTGTAAAAATCATAATAATATAATCATAATTTTAAATAGTGAAATTTATTTGTAGAACTTGTGGGATATTCACAGTAAATTTATCGAGCAAGAAGGTCGCCCGAAGTAAACGTTTTCTCACCGTCGGCGATAACGAATTTACATGAGAAGGACAAACAGTCGAAAGTTTCAGCGCATGGACGAAAAAGCTACACGAATAACGTGATCGTAGATCGCACATTATGCAATAGACATGTATTTTACGTTCTTTTATTTTAATCGTATTTTACATATGAAAAATTTTATTATATACGCTATCTTATACACAACTGCCATTTGAGTGCCAGAAAGATATATTTTTTATATCATTCTCTGTTATTTCAGAAATAAATTTACTCTTTTTACCGCCGTATCACAGAGGCGTTCTCTCAGTGATTGCGATCCGAGATTAACCAATCTAATCTCCCATTCCAGCGAAAAGAAGTGTCGTCAAGCAATGACATAGTTAAGTTTTAGCTGCAATATGAACAAACGTGATATACGATTGCAAAAAACGGCGCAACGCGATCTTTATAGAGATAATGGCGCGGAAATTGTGTGTGTGTGTGAATCACACGATAGTTACAAGTTCTAAAGAGAAACCAGGACAAACTGATTGTCGCGGGTATCGTGAGAGGAGCTGATAGCCGCTGGTAGCGTTCCAAGTACGGAAAATCAGCGTTTGACAAAACTTTCCGTGTGTGAGTCGACAATATCTCCGCACGGAAATTAATCTCATCCGGCACGTACGTGGAACACGTGTCACAAGCATCATGTTGAGTAATCGTAGCTACGTAACGATTACAAATATAGTACGTAGGCAGTTGCGGAGAGGAAAGGAAGGAGGTAGATCAGGCCTCAGAGTTAGTGGAGGAGGAGGAGGAGGTGGTGGCGGTGGCAATGGTAGCAGCAGACGTAAATGAAATGATTGTTCGCCCGGTATGGGTCACGTTGGAGAGAGAGAGAGAGAGAGATAGAGAGAGACGCGCTTCTTTCACACGTAATATATCTCGACCAGTTCAGTATTGGTCCGACACGAAACGTGACAGCTGATTGACGTAGGCGCGAATCTTTTCCGTACGCTGTCCGCGACCTGTGCGACAACCTGGACAACCATGAGCAAGGAACAGCAGGCGCTGAAGACGATCGAGCTGCGTGAACTGCAACCGATACTCAGCCGCACATTCGGCGATCGGCTGATCGTGGTCCGTTTTACAAGCGAGAGCCTGTTGCAGCCGGGCGAGAATTATGGCAGCACCATTTTACGCGTTGACGCCGTAATCAAGCGCAACAATGAGGCGAAGGAGGAAGACCTTCATCTCATCGCGAAGATGCCACCGCCGACGGAATTCCAACGGGAAATGTTCGACAGTCCGTTCACGTTCAGGAAGGAGATCTTCATGTATGAGAAAATTGTGCCTTACTATCAAGAACTGGAGAGAGAGATGGGTCTGAAAGAGGACGAGGTGTTCGACATATTGCCACGATATTATCAGTCCCGATTGTCGCTGAGTCCAGATGTCGATTTCGACGATAACGCCGTTATTTTAATGGAGAACTTGAGGTCGCGCGGTTATTACATTGGCGACAGAACTAAAGGTAGTATTAAATGTCTATTTGAAACTCATTGATGATAAACTTTGAGCTCACTTTATCTTTATGCTTTGAATTAAGCACTTGTTGGCGGTTCAGAAGAACCGCAGAGAAAAATGTTTAGCATAATGAATTATTCATGAGCCTCTCCTAATGAAGACTTTTTTGCGATTTAATATGTTAAGTTCTTTAAAATTATTTATACTATGACTGACAATCGTCATCTTTATGTAAACGACAAATCTTGTGTAGTATTTAATATTCATAAATTTAATTTAACAAATTAACCGAGAATTAAATTTATATGCACTGCGTCAAGTAGAAAAAGTGTAGATACGTGATGACAAAAAATCGGTGAATGGCATTTCATAAATTGCGTAAGGTGCTGGTACAAATAATGATTAAGATAAACTCATTTATTTAAAAACCTTTGCGACATTAAAAGCGCAGTGCGATAACTCCAGATAGAGAGATTTGTCATTCATAATACAATGTGTCGTCTTTTGCTTCTTATCGATATGATTTATGGTCCAAGTAACAAAAACGTGATTTATTACACTAATCCCCTCGGCATCATTTTTTGTCAACTTTATGCAATTTCTCTTGGTACTCAGGAAATATACACGGCATCATTAGTTACGTCATAATGATTTTCATAAAGTTGACCGTGAAAGATAAGAGAGTTTCATGCGGTTGAGTTTTCTCTGATTGTGTGGCAATTTTCTGTGCATTTTCGATCAAAGATTGTTAAAAGTTACAAAGTTAAGATTACTCAATATTATGTAAAGTCGCAAAGCAGATTAGACCAAAGATTATCAAAAGTTACAAAGTTAAGATTACTCAATATTATGTAAAGTCGCAAAGTCAAGACCGTCAGAAGTTGCAACATAAGTTTAGCCATAGTATTCATTAGATGATAAATGAGTGACTTTTTTCCCGTTTGGATCACAGGATGCGATCTTGAGCACTCGAGGGTCGCGATACGGGCGATGGCGAGATTTCATGCGTTAGGGATGGCGACCAAGTACAAACGACCGGAACACTTCGAAGTGTTGAAAGAACGCAGCAAGTGCCTGGAGATGAAGACGGAGAAGTTCGAGCACTTCCAACAAGACATGCTGGCGACGATAAAGGAGGATCCGCAGTTGAACACTTACGCCGATCGCTGCGAAGCCGCCATAAGCGAATCGTTCGGTCGTGGTATGTGGAATCTAACGCCCGACGAGCCGTGGTCCACTATCATTCACGCGGACTTCTGGGTGAACAACATCATGTTCCATCGCGACGAGGACGGCCGGGTGGACGACATCAAGTTCGTGGATTTTCAGAATTATCTGTTCCTCAATCCGCTGCGCGAGATGGTCTTCTTCCTGTTTTCCAGCACGGCGGTGAGCGAGGACTGCTTGGAGGAACTCATAGACCTCTACCACGAGACATTCCTGGCCGTGCTGGATCGAATGGGCTGCGACACCGAGCCATTCACCAGGGAGAAGTTTGACGCCAAGCTGTTCATCGACGCCAAGCTCGAGACGATGCATTTATTCTTCATGCTCAAGATACTCACGCTGAACGTACAGGAAACCGAGTTGAAGTACGATCAAATGGAGAACTTTATGTTGACCTACCAGGGCAACAAAGCGTTCATCCTACGGCTGCGCAAAGTCATATTTTACTTCGCTAAGCGCGAGTGGATCTAGACAATAATAGAAGAAGAAAGAAAACATCCTGGAATGGTCATAAATTCATTGTCACGCTCGCGATATTGCGGCGCAATTGATTACATATACATATATAAGTACGTTGTATATTGTTTTACTTTATCTTCTACGTATTGTAAAACGACAGAAGGACAGGCCAGTTGCGGAGGAAATGAACGTACAATTTGCAATGTGATAAATATAAAATATACGTATATATATATTTTACGCTTCGTTTTCCTGGTGTTGTACAAATATCTGGGTAAAGTAGATGTAATTTATTCTAGCACTTATTTCCTCTTGACTCTTGGGACTTTCCTGTTTTTATTTCTGTTCTTTACATTCGTGACTTCGTAGAAATTGCTTCCGATCTTTTTCCTTTTGCTGGCACGTTCTATCGCTCTTCGCTGTTTGCTCGTCAATTTGTCCTTTATTTGTTGGCGCGACGTCGACAAGACACTTTGTACATCGCCACTCGAGACAGTTTTAGAAGCAAACATTTCGGCATCGCTGGAATCGTATTCATCTACGACATCAAACGCGCTCTGCCTCAGATTCGTAGCATCCATTTGACTCGACAGCGGCTCCTCGTAGCCCACAGGTGTCACGTAAAAGGGCAGTTTGCCGCGTTGCCAATCGTTGAGCACCATACGCGCGGCGATCGCCACGTCGGGCTCTCCCTTCTTCAGAAGCTTGCCGCTCCGGCGCGCCAGCTTTTCCAAGAAATCGACGTGATCTATCCACACGTTTATCTTGTAAGTCTTGGGAATGTACTCGGGCTTCACTCTCTCCAGGACCGAGGCGACGTAATCTTCCGGGCTCTGCACGAGCTCCACTCGCACGACGCCCTTCAACACCTTCTACGTGTCGGTCTCCGACGACGGATAAACCACCCCCGGGCAATCTATCAAGTAGATGCGGCGCATGAGAGTTATGTACTGCCAGACTTTCGTCTCCCCGGCAATAGGCGCCACCTTGCAGACCTTCTTGGAGCGCAGGGTGTTTATGATGGAGCTCTTTCCCGTGTTGGGATACCCTATGAAGCCGACGCTGATCTGCTTCTTGTCGACGTGCAATTTCGCGAACTGCCTCAGCAGATTAATCAGGGAGCCCTTGCCGAAGGGATGCGTGAGGGAGGCGTGGAAGGCGACCGTCGGGTACTCCTTGCTCAGAATCGCCACCCACCGTTGCGTGACCCACGTCGGCACCAGATCCACCTTGTTCAGGATGAACATCAGGTGCTTGTATGGCTTCTCGGTTTTCAAGTACTTCTCCATGGGCGGAGACCTGGTCCCAAGCGGGTCCCTTACGTCCAGTATCTGTAAAATGACGTCGGAGGAGTCAATGACCTTGTACAGCTCGTTCCAGATCCTCCTGCTCTGTCCCGCCGCCATGACCCAGTCTCTCTGCGCGTCCCTCACACCAGTGTCCTCGCGAACGAGGTCGAGGTCCTTGGTGTCTTTCTCCTTGTTGTAATCGTCCTCCTTGTTCTCAGCCGACTTCTTCAAATCGTCATACGACGTCGCTGACAAATTCAGCCGCTTCCTGACCTTCTTCGGGCCAAAAACGCTCTCGAAGCTCTCGGTATCCAACATCAGGTGTACTCTTGCGTTCGCCGCCTTCTGCTGAAGTAAAGTGACGGGCAGCTGAGTGGGTTTCATGACGACCTTGTAGGGATCCTTCATCGCGGTTCCCAATTCATTCTGGAACTTTTGCAGAGCGTTCTGCGAGATGACTCTTGAGTTACCGAACCATCTTTGCGACGGCTCCACGCGCGACATGGTCCCAGAAGTGTTCCAGCCTTGAAACGGCGCGGGGCTAATAATCTTCCCGGTACGATCGCGTTTCGGCCTCTGGTTGCGGTACATCTGCAACCTTTTGATCGTCGCTTTCGTCCGCACCTTGGCGACTCCCTTCAGTCCCTCCGTAGGACGCTCAGGATTCATACCGTGTCCCGAGCGCTTAAAGCCCTGCTTCCGAGGGGCTTTAGTAGTGGTATGTGTTTTACCCATTGTGCCTGGAACAAACACACCATTCAGAAAACAATAGAGATACCTTTCGAAACTTATTGTTAGTTCTCTTTAATATCAAGAAATCAATTTAAAAAGATTGCAAAAAAGACGTTCATATATTTCTAAAAATATTTTTTAATTGATAAAAATAATAAATTGAATTGTAATTGAACACAATAAATATTAAATGTTTAATTTTACTATATTAATCAAATACAATTTAAATTTAATCAAAAACGTCGATGGAATTTCAATTTGTCGTATAAGGAATGATTCTGAACCTGAAAAACCAATATTGTTTTAAATTTTCTGTTGAAAACATTTTAACCTGCACGGTTCGGTTAGTTTTAATTGCGAGATAAAGTATAAACAACTGACAACATACCAGAGATGTGTTACAGCAAACGTATTACTCAAAAATTATCAACAAACAATATGCAACAAATATGTTACGAATAGTCAAAGAACAAGACTATTTTTCTGAAATGTGATTCGCGATCCGCAATTTCAATCCGATCCGCGATCCGCAATACGTAGTGTGATACGGGCTTTAGTCCCAGTCTACAATAGAGATTTAAGCCCTAAGCCTTAAGAAATTGACTAATCACAGTCGCGCATTCTACTCATACTTGACCGTGATTGGCCAATTTCTTAAAGCTTAGGGCTTAAATCATCTATTGTAGACTGGGACTTAAGCTCGTATTGAGAGGAAATGGGAACATACCCAGAGTACTCACCTACATATACATATATGCATACATACATACACTCGGTTGATGTCCGAACACACCCTATATAGTACATATATATGTATACACACATCTATACGTGAGGCAGAGGTAGTGAAGTCGCTGTAGATCGTCGTAGATATGTGTGGTGTCAAACTAACCATGAGACGTATCGCCTATCGTTAACCACTGTAAGAATTTAGGTTCGCCGTAACAACCGAAAGATGGTCTCGATCATAAAAAACCAGCTGCTGAAACACCTGTCGAGGTACCGTACATGCAATCGCGATCGATTAACCTGAAACGCCGTTCCAAGTGGCACGTTAAAAAGACAAAGAAAAAATCGCTCCATTCCACACGTCACGTAATGCGCTCCTTCATACTTCCTTATTGTCGAGATGTACGTCTTGTCATTACGATACAGCTGTCGCATCTCCCTTTTCCATGCGCTCTGTACAATTGTAAGACCGGATACATTTGTACAGCAGTTTCGAAAGTGGCGAAAGTCCGATCGACACTCGTATCATATGTTCGTTACGGATTTTTTCTTTTTCTTGTCAGCAAAAATTATCGGCGTATTAATCGAGTTGGCAACAATTATATAATATTCTAGGCATAAGGATGTGTACATATGCTAATTATACGCATGTAAATACGCACGTCTTGTCGAGATACATAAATAATTTTTACATAATTTATATAAAATGTATAATTGTTACTTGCTTTACGCTGGCAAGTGATGTATCTTGCCTGCTGAGCTTTTGTATTATGTATCGCAGGTTCACCAAGAATTTATCCGCCGACAAGATAAACCTGAGCACATTCAAAGGCGAAGGAGAGCTGTCTAATCTAGAACTCGATGAAATAGTCCTCACGGATCTACTAGAGCTGCCATCGTGGTTAAGACTTACTAACGCCTGGTGCAATAAAGTTTCATTTCGCATACAATGGACCAAACTGAAAAGTGTTCCTATTTTTTTGGTAAACGACGGCTGCAGATTGTACGTGTACTGCATGGGACGAACAGTTGCAATTACAATGTTGTATTTACAGAGTTTGGATGAGGTTCACATTGACGTAGAAACATGTGAGGATCTGAGAAGCATGTCTTCCCCGCAGGGTATATCATCGTACGCTGGACCTGCGAAGTATTCTTTTATACATAAAGTAATCGATGGAATTACAGTGACCGTCAACACTGTGCTGGTTACATTTAAAAGTCCCGCGTTTATTGCCTCGGTCCAGGTGAGATACTGCTGTGGTGTAAGAAGCAAAGTAAATTGAACGCAGACAGATTGACGTTGGATTTAAAACTATGTTGTGTCGCTTAGATGAACCGGATTATAGTAGAATCTAAATCGGCTACATGGCAGCGTTGCGATCTCAGAACCACTAGAGTAAAGGATCCCGATCGAGGGCAGTTACTTATCTTCAAAGAGTTAGAATGGCAGACCGTTAGGATAGAAGCCCAAAGTACCAAGGATCAAAATCTGACGCCGCTCCGTTTACTTACGAACCAAGCGAGATGTCGAATTACAATAAAGAAAAGAATATCAGGTTTGCGAACGTTGGTGTGGACGCCTGCTGGTACATACGTTGCTCGTCGCTGCTAAGTCGACCGCTTTGTTACAGATTGTTTCGTCATGGGCTCCAGATTGGTAATTATCTTGGACGATCTTCTGTGGGTGCTGACAGACTCGCAGCTAAAAGCTGCGCTCCATTTTCTCGACTCTTTGGCTGGCCTTATCGAAAAAGCCACCGTTCTCGAGCGGAAGACAAAAGCTGCTAGGAAACTAGAGGTTCGCACAGTTCACCTAATCTTTAATAATAAAACGCCAAATGATTTATATCAATTTGTCTGCCCTGTAATGTAAGGTTTCACCAGAGAACCAGGCGCAGGTGTCGCAGCAAAGCAGAACGAAAAATCAGTGCAATACAGCGATTTCAAAAATATTTACCAGATACGATGTCGTAGAGACGTCGTATCACTTTCTCTCGCAACGCATCGATCTTCACTTATGCGACGACGCTGGTGGTAAGCTCAAAAGAGATTTAGTCCCGTTTTTCATGTTGGAAATTCTCTGTTGAGAGCATATTACTTATTTTATTTATTTAATATTTATTGGGTACAGTTACGATTTTGCCTTCTGCATTAGATTTACTATTCCATCTTAATATTATCACATGTTTTAATATTACATTATTAAAATAGGAGGCAGGTCGTTGCATCCTGATCTGAAGGACGGCGGTGCGCTACAAATTTCGTTAGTTAGATTTCAAATTGATTATTATCCGTATCATCTGGCGATGGCGGACAGAAAGCATTGGGCCAAATACAGGGAGAACGCCACACCTCACAACCAATGGTTGCAGCAGTCGTTGAGCTCGTTCAGAAGTCAGTTTATGGATCTTATCGATTCTGGGAGGACACAACATTCTCCTTTAACGAGAAGTCAAGGGAACGTAACAGGTTCGTGTATTGTACAAATAAATTGCCCAATGTCTAAAGGCCTGTGTCCATGATCCAAGAACTGTATCCAAGCTCTAGTTCCGAGAAACATCTAGCCAACCAACTCGCATCCTTTACGGAAAAGCTGCTAGTTGATTGGCTACACGTTTCTCGGGACTAGAACTTGGACACAGTTCTTGGATTCTGGACACAAGACTTAATACACAATTGATAGAAGTTTGAAATATTATTCGATCTTACGTAAAACAGGAAGTGGTACGAAAGGCTCCAGGGAGCATTTGGAAAAGACTAATCAGCCACCAAACCCAAGTGTCACGCCATCTGAACAAAAAAAGTCTCAGCATCCCAGCGGAAATCCTGTGAAAAATTACGTTTTGGAGCAGCTTGCCAAACTAATGACGACGTGCATTATTATCAGGATCGATGACTTTACTTTGTACAAAGTGACAACAACGTCGCGTAATCCAATGCCAAAAGAATTCATCTCAGGTATTGTATGTTTAATACTCGCTCGAGTTATTTGTTTATCAGGTTCTTTATCGAAAGAGTCGCATCAAGTTTGACAATAATTATCTTATTTGGTAATTGTACAGCTCAAACCAGGAAAAAACATACACCAGGTATAAGAAATTAGTAGTTGGTTTTGAATGTAGCATCGCACATGCAAATGCTAGATTTGATTTATTTTGACTGAAGTAGTTTTATCGCTTTACCTCGATTCTTTCTTCTTTTCTGTCCAATGTAGTTTATGTTAAACAAATTACGATTAATCTGTAGTATTCGATGTGCAGTGATGTGTATCTAAAAAAAATATTGATATCACATATCATTTGCAAAAAATCTTGTAGAGATTTCATAAAATATTATGCTATTTACCAACGACATTGTTGTTTTAATGTTTTAGCAAGATGACGTGTAAAGTTGCATGCGAGGTCGAATTTAGATAGCGAAATTCGAATTTCACCTCGTTTTCCTATATCTATTTAAATGAAACTTTTCTTTAGGGGATCGTGACAGATTTAGTCTTCCAGAAGACGTAACAATAGTTCATGCAGAGTTTACTTATTACTACTATCCAGGAGATATCACTTTTCCCTGTGAGCAGAAATTTGTACGAGTACCTTTATTCTACTTGATAACTTCGCTATTATAAACGATGTATAATTTTTTAGTGCCGCCGCCCAAGTTTTATGTGCAGCTCAATCCCATTCAAGTAAATTTTGACGTCTGCTCGTGCCTATGGTTTAATTCTTTCGCATTGAATCTTTATCATTCTCTTATGGGAAAAGACAAGCAGCTGAGCTCTACGCGTTTAATGTACTTCGATGTAAAAATAGAGGCTATACTTCCAAGAGTAAGTTAACAAAGATATCAGTACGTACTTTATACATTTTGAACATATCCCCATCTCTCACTTCAACAATGTAAATGTTTGTAAACCTTTAGATAGTCTTCGAAAGTCAGCAGGATTACCCAAACCAGAAAGACAGACCCAAGTCTCTGCATCTTCAAACTTCTAGAGCATCTATAACGAATGTGCGATCGACAGAGAGATCCTCGCGGGCGGATTTGGCGCAGTGCCTCAACGCGTTTCAGATGGGACAGATGTTCTTTGGCGCAGAGTTCCCCAGTAAATCGGGCGATTTTCACGCAGTGACGGATAAATTTCTAACGCATTGCGCAGGTATTTACAATATTGTTAATATTGATAACATCTAGGTTTTTTTTTTTAAATCAGTCTTCGGTACTTTCATTCGGCTCTGTATTCCAGGCACCGATAATATCAGGCAAATACCGCCAAATTTCAGCAGCAATTCCGTAAACGAGTTGCTGCGCCAGCTGAATAGAGAACTCTTGTGGACGGAGGCGAAGGACGTGTGGTGCTGCAACTTGGAGCCTGTCTGGGGAGATTTTTTCGGAGCACGAGCCGTCGGGCAGAATCGGCCCGTGCCGTTTCTGGACGCGTTCCCTCTAACGCTGTGGTGCCACTTCACCGCGGACTCGTTATCCGCCACGGAGAAGCCTTCGGCGGCCGACATTCACGGGCTGGCGTACATAAGCAATTTAGTTAGCGTACAGATAAATCATTATCAGTATCTGTTCTTACTGAGATTGGCGGAGATACTCTCCACCGAGATGGCCACGTACTTGGCCGTGGACTCGAACAAGATCCTGAGAGTCGAGAGCGGCGGATCGGTGATCATAGGCGCGTTGATACCGCAGGTGGAGGTGACGTTTGTCATGCCGTCGCACACGCCCGGCAAAGAGAATTCCGGCGGCGACCTGGAGTCCGTCGTGCCCGACTCTTCCAGCATAGCGGACGAATTCGTCGGCTCGTCCACGGTCTGGCACACCAGCACGGTGAGCGCGCGCGTCGACTTCAGCGCCAAGAGAATGAACACGAGCAACGACGTGGAGACACCTCAGAGCGAGGCGTCGTCGATGCTGTCGATGGATTACTCGCACTCTGCTCCGACGCAACCGGTCGTCACTTTCAAGCAGAACGGCACGAAGAAGGGTGACCAGGAGGGCCCGACGAACGCGATGTGGTGCATACCCGAGAGAGAGAGCAGCGGGCCGCAGTACGTGATGCCGTTGGGCAATACGAGCGACGAGAAGAAGCACGCAACGGAGAAGCACAGCAAGTTGGACACACCCTTCATTCCGAACAACTTCAACGTCAATCTCTCGTCTGTGAAGAAGGGATTCAGCAACTTAATGACGTCGATCGACTCGGCCTTGAAGGCCTCCCCGGAAGACGGTAGTAGCGACACGGTGTCCATGAGAAGCGACGTTAGCTCGGACAGCGAGAATTACGTTTTGGTGAGCCTCCAAGATCAAGGGAAGATCGACGCGGTGTTCGGCATCGATAACTCGATTAGGGTCGCGGCCGTGGAAGAAGCGACCGAAGTTGTAGAAGAAACGCCGGACACGCAGAGTGAGAAGTCTATGGACAGCGTGTGCAAAAGGAAGGACATAGTGAGTACCGTAGTTTGCCGACAGTCCGTGAGGAAATGGAATCTTATTTTCTCCCCCGCAGGTCTCCATGGCGACGTTCAAGCTGTCGAAGGTCGAATTTATACAGCAGTCTTGCGATTACGCTTCCGTCATCAAGATTCAGGTTTCCAACATTGACAATGACGAATGCTCGTCTATTCCTTGGGACGAATTTCAGGTGAGCCGGATTACATATTAACCGATGTAACATAAAGTAAATATACATATATACGTTATGCTATATTATTACATATTATGCTCTTTTTTAAACGAACAAAGTTCCTTATTAACCGTACTGCTGCAATAAAAATTTATTCTCTTTCTTCTTTTACTATGGAAATTTTGTTACTTTCACGTAATATAGCTTATTCGTTCGGCATTATTTGTGTGCTAATTTCAAGTATCTCGAATATAATTAAAACATTATATTCCGACAGCGAATCTTATACTTAGTAATAACTTGATTGATATTTGAGTTACAGTCGTGTATAAAAAAACTTCTCTCCACTACATTTTATATTGTAATTCGAAGAAAAGACTGCATTGAAACTTTTTGTGATTATACAAGTCATAGTAAACCTTTCCAATTAGAGTATACATTTGAAATAGCGGGTTACTTGTGCATAAGCTACTAATACTTGAGTAGTTTCGCAGTAATTTGCTCATTGTTTTTACATTATATAACCAGTTGACATTATTATCAATGTATATTTATACGATTTCTGTCTTTTAACTTTTTTTGCATGCCTCTCCCGCGTCTCTCCTTCTCTTGTGAATGTTTTTATGTGGCACTTGTGGCAGGTCAAGAGAAAGGTATTGGCAAAACCATTCATACATTTATTAATCTTAGACACTGTTAAAAATGCATGTGTTGATATTGAGCTACGTCACGTTGCTGTTATCACACTGTTGATGGATCTCGTAGAATCGACAAGACTTAAATAAATGTTCCAACAAATCAAAAGTATAATACTGTCATTACATACATATTCGTCATATTGTTATCAGCAGTTGCAAATTTTCGTGCAAGAGGAGCTAATCAAGTGGAAGTGTATTACAAAATTTATATATTCGTATCATATTTGTATCACGTTACGTAAAATTCTTTTGCAACATTGCCTTGTTGAAATAAGATAACTGCATCACGTATTTCTGCTTTTATCTTTCTTGTTTGACAGAGTAATTCTAGAATTAATGAAAATCTAATTATATTATTAAATTAGATCGCTTACCGTGTGAGTTATGCTTTTGATTTCTTATGTGATTTCCATACGCAGTTGATAAGAATTCAATTTTGAAGATTTTGTATTGTAATATATCGTGGCAACGAAATGTATGGCATGATATTGTAACGTGAGCTTGCATTACAATATTCATAGCAATATATATAGCTTGATTATGCTAAGTATTGTAAATATATACGCATAATTTGATTTGCTTTACATATTATTTCAGAAGCGATTATTAACAATGCTTCACATGTTGGAACATGCTGCTACATAAAATAGCTTTAGTGCATCAATATGCTTTTGCATCTGAATACGATCTTTCTTGCAGCTTATAATAATTCTTGATTCAAAATGGCCTGGCTTTGAAATTTCTTATCAACATGTAGATTTTCATCTTGTAATCAACAGATTGAACATAATCGCGTCTTTAATTATCTTATTAAATTAAAGTCGAGTTGTTTGTAATTTATGACTAACGAAAAGATCATCATTGACTCATTTAGTGTACGAATCATACTTCATCTAATGTCGCAATATGATATTGCAATTTGAGCAGTAACGTAATCAATATGGAAATAGATATTTTACTAGCTGTGCAGTTCCCAGGTCTGCCCGAGTTTAATATGTTGACGCATTCTGTTTGATAGACCAAGTTCAGTTCGCGGTCTCGAGGCTGGATAGAATTACCGTCCGATTCTGACTGCAGATCACGTATTAAGCTACGTTTGGATCACTGCTTGAAAAATCCGGACGACTCCCGCAGGCTCTCGGACGCCAGTCAAAGAGACTTGAGCGACAGTAACAGGCGTGCATCTCAGGATCGCGCCAGATTGTCCGAGCAAGATGCGTCGCGTACATCCGGCATTAATGTGCACGACAAGGAGGGCGTTATGAGTCTGTTTGAGGACAAGCTTGAGATGAGAGTCGCTAACGTGGGAATGTCATTGTCGATGAGCTCGGTGACGGGTTTAGCGGATTTAGCGGAGGACGAGATCATACCTAAACCAATTCCTATGCAGGTGGGTATTCTTGCGAGATTAACGAGAGCACATGATCCGAATATGACCTTCCTCCTTCTCCCTTGAGGGGACAATCCCAAGATTTTATTGTCGAATACGCACACGTTATTGTTTCAGATATACTTAGAGAATATATCATTACGTTTAAACGAGGATCGTCCGCCAAATAACATAACTTCCCCGGGCCCGATCCCGATAGATTTGAACATCTCCAAACTCAGGATAGCGCGGGACATGAGCGGCGTTTTTCACATCGAGCCCGTCGGTAAGTGACGCTCGCCGTTGGGCGAGGCGTGTCCACTCGTTTCTGCCACTTGCAGTTGACCATTGAGTTGACTTTTCTTTTACGATCTTTATGCGACCTTAATCTTAGCTACGTCGTCCCTGCGCCTGTAAATACATGTACCTGTGAGTTGGTATCACACGTAGACTTTTACATTGCGCAAGTGGCAGATTTCAGTTTGAAAGTAATTAATATTACATATTGCGTAACTGTTCTCTGCACCCAGGCGGCCTTTCGAATGTGAGCATTGATATAACACAATGTAGACGAGTAGCTTTAGATCTCGCTGCTTATTACTATCGCACAGCTTCATATATATTATTTCATCTAGACATAATTGACATATAATATGCGTATAGATACAATATTAGTGCATTTAAGTAAGCATGAACTGTGATCTTTATGATTATGCACATAAAGAAAAATTTGTTGGTCTACAAGTCTCAGTCATCTTACTTTGTATTAATCGTTTCATATTTTATGTACTGGACTTGTACAGAATGTAAGAGTGGAAGGATTGGTAGCTACAAGTTTTTTTTTGAGATTGGTTGTCTAATTTTGATTATTCAGTTTTCATCAACAGGCGAGCATCGAGTCTCAAATTGATTAAAACAACTTTATTACACAAGTACGGTGATGGGCAGAATGGTTGCAACACTTTGTTTAATGAGTCCAGGAGCGCATTTAGATTCAGGCTTACGTTCCAGAACACTTTCTATGGGACATATTTTACTCGAGAAATAGATCGGAAACGCTCAAAATGGTTTCGGAATGTCCATCGAGTAAAATATTCCTCGGGGAAGAAAATGTTGGAACGTAACCCTGAATCTAAATGTTCCTAAACTCGTTAAAAAAAATTATCCCAACCATTCTGTCCATCACACATATCCTAGTTAATATAATTTATAACTCCTCTTATACACATAAAGATTACATATTTTACATTACACATATCTGACTTGGTGGTGGTTGGTGTGACTAGACATATGTATAGAGGAAAGTCCCCTATTGCGGGATAGGTTCCTAATATTAGATAGCGGAGTTTCTGCTAAATCAAAATAGGCATCATCTATTGGTTCTACCATGAATTTATTGCTCTTGGAGTGAAATCTGTTTAGTGGAAAATTGGATGTTAGATCGTGTAATCGTTGCGAAAAGAGATTGTGATTGAATTTGGACGTTGAAAGTCTACTATCTCATATGAGACTCCTATCTCATAATAGAGGACTTTCCTTTACATACTTTAGTACATATATCCATATCTTTTTGACTCTATTATCTCTTTTGAAAGAAATTAAATATGTGTTTGTATGTTTTTGTTGGAGTTTTTACAGTGTAATTTTTAATAGGTCAAGTGATTTCTTCTTTTTAGTAACTGCAGTAAACGAGAGCCATTCAAATACGGCGTTATCGAATGACAGCAGTTACACACTTAAGAATGCCGAGTGCGAGAAGGAATTGAAAGCTCTAAGACAATCCAGTAAGCAGCTGAAATTGGATAACGAAGAATTGAGACGTCGCATGGGAGCTTTGGACAGATTGTCGGAAGAAAATGCAAGATTAATGCGCACGAAAGAAGAATCGGATTTAATAAAGTCTCGTTTGAGCGCGGCGGAAGATGACATTGCGAGTCTTCTTGAAGAAAAGAGACTCTTGCACGAAACTATTTCGGAGCTGCGAAATCAAAGACTGGAAGACGGTCCTGGAGGTAGTAATAGAGCTTCGTGGTCTATTAAGAGATAGCATACCAGTTGTTTTGATTGCTCCAAATGTTGCAGTTCTAGTAAGTCCTAATCAGTTACGTTTTCTATAATGCAAAAGATTTCTTTTGACAAGTTTAGGATCTTTTTTATATAAGGTAAAGAGATTTTTAGTTTGTTTAAATAAAGTGATTATCGTTAACGATATAATTTTTAACCTTACACATGTGAGTTAATGAGGATTAGAACGATTTAAATTTAAATTGTTTCGGAAACACTATCAGGTCTATAATTGTACTTTAAGACATATTAGTCCCGTCTGCCGTAATTATGCTAGTAACTGCCGTTTAGGTCTTTTGCTTGGAATGTCGAACACAGTGATAAGAATCGTGTAGGTGCGTATACGAATGCGTATGCAAATTTAAATGAGAAAATATCAACTTTCTTACCGTGATCGAGGTGATAATAAATTGCTATATCAACCCGTTTTCTGTTTCACTGTGAAATTAGTGATTGGTCGTACGAATTTTCGATAAGTGCTATTTCGCTTGTGTGTCAGCAGTTTATGCGTAATGTGGTTGAAGGTTGTGTACGACCACTTTTATTATATTATGCACAGTTTCGGTTGTAAATGTATGTAGAGATAAGTAACAAATATTTTGTCTATACATACAAACTTACATGGTACACATATCCTTCTGAAAACGAAAGAGTGATCTTAAAATACGATAAAGACGTAGACAAATGAAGAAAACGATGTATTTAGAACTGGATTGATATCTATGTTAATACAAATGTGCTAGATATCTTTCTCTCTATTTTAAGATGGAAATTGAAATCTACTTGAACAGTATACTTGCATATTTGTGCATAAAAGTATTGTGCATATACTTATGAAATATGTTTGTATCAGGACTTTAGGAGGATGTGTACGTACATGTACGGAATAAGCAAGTGCACTAGTCAGTATATCACAATTTAGGCGTATTGGTTGATTCTACAATTGGTAATAGTTTTATATTTTGCTTTCTGTGGATATAACGATCTGAGAGCATTCTGTGAGGCACAATGATTTAAAACAAACGATTGTAACTTACAATAGTAATATGCTAGTTGAGCCTACGGACTTTAAATAAGAATTGTGACCTGGTGGTATCGCATTACATCGTAATTTTATATTGACTGATTTAATGATTCATCGAATGATGAAAATTATAAATAATAATACAGTGATGTGGGACGTTTCAATAAGACTGTATAAAATTCGAAGATGTTGGTCTATAGTAGTCGCTCTAGAGTCCTCCTTGAGAGATAATTTATATGAACGTTAGAAACGGCAAATTGAATCGATGAACTTTTAGAATGGAGAAATTGTGAAATACGAATTGCGAATGATGATCCCTTTAACAGAACCTGTTTTTCAGTTTACAATCAGTCCCGATAATGTTGTAGCTTCCTTAGAGTTTGATTTCGATAGATTTAATTTTTACGACGGATTGCTGGTCGATCCTACATATATGGAAAGTATTTTTTTATTGCGTACGAATACATGATGCGATTGAAATTTGTTTCATAATGTAAAATTCTGCTCTTAATATACACAATTTCGCGTATCATAGAAGATACGCCATTTAGATAGATTTCCATTTAGATGCGGCTTCGAACGGTGCGTTCCCTTGGCAAATATTCTCTGTAGATAGACGAATACAAATGATCGCGATCAACTACGCGACGACGCAATTGCTTGAGATGGTTCGGTGCAATAAGATAAAATTATGTAATATTTGACTAGCGAACGCAAGGAGTGAAGGTAGCGTAATATATGTAGGCTTAGAGAAGGATGAAAGGTAAAAGTTGAAGTTTTTGTTACTTTCAGATATACGGATAAGCTTTTTATAATGCACATATCATACCTACAATGAAGGATTTGCTTAAATGTGTAACACATTTATATGGTCTGATAACATTTTGTATTGCAAGAACATATTTTCCTTGCAGTTTAATTGTATCGATGTCCATTATCTTTCAAGTCTGATTTAGCTCAACTTCCTAAAGTTTGTTCACAGTTCCTTTCCCGAAGAACTAATTACTTTACATTAATACAAGCATATTTGGTATTAATTAGTATGCACCTAATATATTTTATCGTGAGTTACAATATTGAGCTGAAAATTACATCTGTTTTTAATCTTTCAAGTTTTATATATAAATTTCTATATCGGGGGTTTTTTATATACATTTTTTGATGCATATTATAAGTTTTTATATCATATTTCACTAATAAAGTATTGCTTATTTCCTCCTTCCAGTTTTTTTTACATAGTTATGTAAGGGCTTTAATACTATATACCAAATATGCATATTCAAAATAACGAAAAGACTATGTATAACTGTCTGACTTACTGTCCGATTAGCCGCAAGTGCTGCGTAGCTATACATGAAGTGGAATTGCTTCACACGGTACAACGCCCGAATTCTTCCTTTTTTTTATATAGTCTAAGTACTTACTTATGTAACATACTTTATTATATTACTAACACAAACTTTAGGAAGTTGAATGTGATTAACTAATCGTAAAATATAACGTTACACTTCAGTAGAATTCGTTTATAGTTTATAATTAATTAAGCTTTCTAATATTTACATTTAGACGATTATGTTTAGACACAATTGTCATTCCTATAAGATTCTTATATTGTTATCCGATTTTTAACGTTGTTGTTAGCTTCATTTCAGTCGTATTGTATTGTTTTGGACAGGTAATATGTTCTGTTTGTTTTAGCATTGTCAACAGGCAAGACTTTTGGAGGAGTGTTTAATTCTATAACACTTACATAACTTTGTACTAGTTATTCTAGTTAGTAAAATTCCAAAAAATGTTGCATATATAAATAAAAAAAAAATATATATATGAAAGGAGGGAGAGAACAATCATGCCATTTAGCGCATGAACCATGGTCTCGTTGCGTAAATTCATATCTTATATCAACGACCGTGTGATACACGATCCGATATAACGATGCAGCCATAATTTACGAAATGAACCTATTTTATATATTAGCAGAAATATAGTGCATATATTTGAAGAATCGTCATTTCCATATCAAAGTGCTATGAGATCCCAAGAGTGGGTTGTGCAATTTCCACATTCGTTCACACGGAGAACATAGGCGAGTCAATGTGAATCGCCTGCCATGTTCGCTATCGCTCCGTAGCTTTTGTTGTGAAATATTATGATTATTAGATAATTTAAATAAGATAAGCACCATTGGGGATACACTAATTTGTTCAATGTAACAATGTAATTGAATTATTATAGCTTTGTTTCAGGCAGTAAATGTGGCGTACTTTGTTGGAATATATTATTTTGATAAATGTATATTTCAGCAATATTGAAGTAAACTATTATTATATAATCTGCATTAATTAATATAATACGTGGGCAAATGAGTTATATAATACGAAAACTTGGCAATATATATACATACATAAATATATATATATATATTCATCTGCAACTTTATATCTCGTAACGAAGGTACTGTGTTATTGTTTCAACGACGAATTGTATGTACAAGTATGAGTGACATTTGAATAATTATATTTTTAATCTTTTTTTTTGTGGAACTAAAAAGGAAGCGATGGCCAAAATGTAGTTTCATCTTTTTGATGTAAATGAGACGAATATCACTTTCTCAATAAAGTTATTACAAAGGTATCGAAAGCTTTTCCTTGTTACGATTTCCGTAAAATACATACATCGTGTATACGTATATATCTTTTATCACATTTCTTAATTTATTATTATTCAATGTATGTATGTCTTCTATTTGCACAATTTCTACAATTGACATGTACAACTACGGTTACATACAGGCTGTGTTCGATTTAAGTGTGCAAAGTTAGTTTTTTTTTTAAATAAACAGTTATACAAAATGCTTTCAACTAAAAGTTATTTTAAATGTTCGAGAACTAATGGCTTGAGCAAAGGTCTTAAATTATTTTCTAAAATATCTTTTAATGACGATTTTATTAAGAAGAAAGAAATGATTTACTTTTACTAGTTTTATGAGGCATTTTACGACAAATTCAATAATATGCAATATGTTTTTCGATAGTCGTATACGAAATATCTTATAAATATTATAAAAAAGCATAACCGAGAATACATACTTAAATTAAACATACTGTACCGAGGAAAACTTTTCATCCCGTTTTTTTTCTAAAAAGTGTCCTAATCCAGGGATCGAGGCAGGCGAATTTATCACAATTGTACATTTCTCTGAGAAACAAAATTGAAAATCGCGTCTCGGCATATTTCGCGCGAATTGGTTACAAACATAACGGGCTGCAAAGTTTGCGCCGGTTCGGCCTGTACGTAAAAAAAATCAATACATAAATATCAGAAAATCGTATGTCAGGTTTCACTACGCTTCTTAATTTCGACTCGATCACAGTGAACGTACATTAATCAAACATTTATGAAACAGCACCGTGTACTATTTAAATATAATAATATGACGGGGAGAAAATATAACGCGTGGATGCACAGGCGGCGCCAAAAAAAGGCTCCCGTCGGTGCAGTTTCGAACGGGCCGCGCTGCGGCGGGCGGTTGGCGGCAGTGGCCGCGGCGACCGACGGCGGTTGGCAGCAGTGGTCGACGAACGGGAATCGTGCGGCATCGCGGAGCGACGGAACGGGGCACGCACGGTACGACACGGTACGGCACGGCACGGCACGTTGACGGGGCGACCGACACCGACACCGTCGAGGACGAGGCAAGGACCGAGCGACCCGTGTTGGAGCAGATTCCGGCGTGCGCGGCGGCCGACGGGGGAAAAAACGGCGCGAGAAAAACAAACGGGGGAAGAACAAGGAGGTCATTCGCGGCTCGAGTGTGTGTACGTATACACGGCGACACGCGGGCCGACACGGTACACAACGCCGGGCTCTCTCGCGGCGGAACGCGCGGAGAGAAAGAGAGAGAGAGAGAGGAAAAAAAAACCTGGGCTGTAATCGGTCGGACGGGGGACGACGCGGGGCTTGTTGTCGTTCGCGTTTCGAATCGCGGGGCCTCGCCAGTCTGGCCCGCAGCACCGACGTAGCGTCGTTAAGCGCCGCAAGCCCGTAGTGCGATCCCCGCCGACCTATTCCGCCGAGCGAGCTTCTCTCTGCGCACCGCACGATCATGTTCCGCACGAAATGGTAAATCGTTTCCCCTCCTCCTCGCCTCCTCTCGATCGCGAGCGAGCGATCGCCCGCCCGCCCGCCCGTCGACTCGCCCGCGACCGGAGATTAGAGCACCTCTGATTTCTGCTTTCAGCAAGGAGCACGATCACTCGTCGTCCTACAAGTTTTTGCAAATGGAGCATAACCACAAGAACCTGGACTGCTACTTCTTCTACTATTCCACGTGCAAGAAGGTGAGCGCGGCAAGTCCTCCCTCCCGCCCCCGCGTGCCAACCCCCCCCTCCCCCTCCCCGGCCGATTTCCGTTCGACGTTCTTTTCGAAAGCGTGCGGACACGCACCGTACCATATTGCCTCGGGCTCGCCGAGGTTAGGTCGGCCATCTTGATGCTGTGTTGACAGGAATTTCTCGCGGAAGTACCGAGCGACGCGGGCGAATCCGTGCGCCGGGATTTCCGCCGCGCTCGAACGGGGGTCTCCGCGTTTATTCGATTACCCGCGCGCGACACGGCGCTTCTTTTACCTCGCCGCGGCACGCGAACATTCTGCGGCACGTTTCGTCGGGACGTGGAAGTGGATATTCCATTTATTTATCCGTCGCGCGGTCGTCTCGCTGGCTCTCGAGATTCAAGTACGTTTGTTTCAATAAAATCGAGCGGACGAACGGAAAACGCGCACCACGTTCGCCAGCCACGTGCATTGAGCGAGCGATTGCATTTCCCGAAGTATTCGTACGCGCCGGCTCGTTTTCGATCACGCTTGCAGTATGCGACAATGTTACTTGGCACTGCGAGTCGTGCGTTGCCCCGCAATGACGGGGGTTTTTTTTTTATTTTGCCGAAAACCAAACTTACATTTTGTCACCTTTCTTTCTCGCAGGGCGACTTTTGCCCGTACAGGCACGAACCGTCTGCTCTGGGTTGCGAGACCATGTGCACGTACTGGCAGCAGGGAAATTGCCTTAACGAACATTGTAACTTCAGACACATGGAATTAAAGGTAAATCGCTCGGCTGTTGCCGAGAGGCGCCGCTTCTGCGGCTTGTTGACACTTTCTTTTTATGTACACTCAGTCCAAAAGAGCGGCACGCTACAAATTTGGGAGAAACGTACCAATTAAAACAGGGAACTTGTAGCCAATCCAACTGGCATATTCCTTTATTTAGCAAATACAACGCTTTGACCCTATGTTTGGGCTCTTTTCCCGCATGCGCGTGTACACACATTCGCATACACACGTACCACAAGGGGGATGTAAGCTCGAAGCTTTATTTATCAACTTTGCGTCCTCTCACTTTATCATTCGCCATTTTGAAAGAATGAGCATAATTCTCATTCAAATATTCTTAAGTTGGACATTCGGAGCGTCATTTTCTACCTTTGTATTTACTTTTATCTTCATTATTTATGGAATACTCGATATTTTGTATATTTCTCCCAAATTGTTAGTGTACCGCTTTTTTATGGGGGGACCGACTGCTTTATTGAAATACGTGTTTCCGAAGTGGATCACCGCCGTCGTCGCATATTCCTTCGTACTCGCAATTCTTCAGTTTCCAGTCTCTGTTCCCTTTGAATCGCGGTGAATGCGGGACCGGGAGCGCGATTACGAGGCGACTGTTCTCACTCGGTGCCACGTGTCGCTTCCGCAAGAAACTCGCTGAGAATTATCTTGGAGTGGGACTCGGCAAACCACGGCCCGCTTATTATATTATTGTTACACCTTCAGTCGATAATACACTTGCTTTCTCTCTCGCTACACGAGTTTGCGTCTTGGCTAGCAAAGCCTGAAATATTTACTATTTGCTCCTACACGAGAAAGTTTTGTCGACCCCCTGTTTAAAGTCTAATCTACAACACGTTCTTTGCGTTCAATAAAACCGAAAGAGTCCTATGCCCCCTTAAAGGATCAGCAAGAGCGGATGAGTGCGACAAAAATTATGTTATTACGCACGACATCTGCGTTTATCGATTAGTGCTGATCTGTTCTCTGAGCAAATAATTCTTGGCTTGTGATAATTCGCACAAAATATTACGTAACGCGATAAGTTTACTGTATCGCAAGAACATCTGCGCTTATCGGCTCCAAGTTTGCACACGAGGAATAGTATTTTGCTGCTGTGTGCAACGACAATTCTGTTGATTATATTGTCGCGCGAAAGAAGGATTAATGAATTGCCATTCATTCTTCTTAAATGGCGCGAAAAGAAATTGCCATTAACTCTTGATAGACGTTTTAAATAGCACAATTATTAAGCGTTACATCCCGTAGCTGCTTTTTTATTTTCTGCTAATTATCTTATTTGAATAAATGAGTACACATGTAAGCAGTGTCTGGTTTAGAGATTAAAACGAAAAATGTGTATCCTGTATAAATTGCAATACTTAGTTGCGATTATAAAATTACTTCAATTGTAAAAATTAAATCTCAACTATTTTCGTTCGCAGAAAAATCGCAAATTGATTCCTTGTTACTGGGAAACACAGCCCGGAGGATGTAGAAAGCCACATTGTCCATTTATGCATACGAGTCCACGCACTATTTCTAGTGACCCCATCAATCCCGTGAAGACCGCGGAAGTAGCAACAAAATCTCCGAATCCAGAGTGGCTCAACCGTCAAGGTAGGTGCTGCTCTATTACGCTAACGCTCGATTAACGTTTAGATCGGTAACAAAACTTGTGGCGACTTGAAAAAACTTTGTTCTAATACAAAGGTTTGATTTGTCTCGCAGTCGTGATTGTTTGGGAATAATTCTTGTTTTAAGATTGAAAAGAAAGTGTGTCGAACGCGATTATATACAAACGTTTCAACGATGCTATAATTTTACCTAGTGCTACTAATAAGGATTAAAGATTAAACGTTACTTACTTAGAATTAATGACGAGTAGGATATACAGGATAGATAATAAGGAAACGGATATCTCGCGCATAAAGTCGCGCGCCTGGACAAGTATGTTTACATTTTGTTATTCCATAAAGATGACCCAAAGTATGAGGGCAGCAGTACTACTGAATCGGACCAAGGTAGAGGAAACAGCGAGGCTGGTAGTTTTATCGGTAGTCCCGCCGTCGATCCTCTCATCGTCAAATTCGAAGAAGGTATGAGGCTTTACTAGCCCCCCCGTCCATCTTTCAACGTACATTATCTTACGTCAGCCACTCTCTCTCTACCGCCTAGCTTGCAAACGAATATGAATCTCCCGAGCGCGCTCAATATCCCGAAGAGCCTGACAATCCCCAACAATCCTAACAGCCTCAACGTCCCCGGTAACATCGGCGTCGCAAACAATCTAAATGTCCCGCCGACGGCGAACTCGCAATCCTCCCCTTGCCATCACGCGCTATCGTATCCGCATCATCAGCAAAATTTACACTCTCACTCCCCCGGGCAGTCTCTGTCGTCATTACAAAATCAACAGAGCTCCCCGCTCCTCCAGCAGCCGCCGTACACGTCGATCCACGCGCAGCAAACCCCGCAGCCTCAGACCTCCCGATTCCCCTTTCCGTTCCTCGGTATAACGTCGTACAGGAGATTTTAAAATCGACGACGACTGTTGTAGTTTTTGCAAACGACGTATGTATGATTTTTCCTCTCGTCCACACCAGTCAGCAGCAGAAAGATACTTTCGCGGGACTCGCGAACGGGAGTCGAGATCCTCCAAGTTTCTTTACGCAGTTCCGTTCCGTTGAGTCTGTTGCGCGTACAGCCTGAGATTCAAGACGCACCTTCGCACCGAGTTACTACGAAAGTATCCTTCTGAATGAAGAATTGTATAATAGTGTAATTCTGTATATCTTTCTGACGAAAGATATGTTGTAACAAAAGAGTCCTCGTGTCTTAGCATAATATTTAATTTATAGTACTAATAGCATTCCCGATACTTAATCGAGCTCCACTCTCTAACTTTTTGTTTCGTAACACCGTAGATCGATCTAACGAGCAACTAATGCAAAAATATAATTATAATATTCACACGTACGTCAATATCGCAAGCTGCGAGACTAACGCGATTTTTTCTTCCTCTTAAATTAAGGTTTCCATTACATTGGTTGCTCTTGTTAATTTACGTACGTGCGACTTACCACACACACGCCCATCTACATCCATTCGATATTCGTGTGCTGTCGCGGGAAAGAGGGATAACATGCAATATTTATTAAGTCGAATTGACGCTTCTTTGAGAATTGGCATTTATATCGATATAATCCGACGATCGAGGTGCACAATTGCGCAATATATATATATATATTTATGGTCGATCTTATCGATATACCTTGCACTCGTGTTGTCACGAAAAATTTAGTGGTAAATTATCAATTTTTGCAGGGGCTGCTATAACTAAACTTTGCCTAAATTAGCCCTCTAATCGCCTATGGCTATCTCTCTCCGGCTGCGGTGCGATCGGGCTCGAATTACCAGAATGGTCTAAGTTACGAAAAACGAGGTTCAAGTGTCCCCGTCAATACGACGTCGTATGCTGTAAGATCGCGAGAGCAAGAACCGTGTTAGACGAAGAAGAAGATAGCTATGGGTCTTCGCTTTACACACACACACACACAATCACACATATACAGACACATCAACGTACACGCGCGCGCGCGCACACACACACACACCAACTTTTTGCATTCACACGGATCTTAGTTGCGAAAAGCGGAAATTTAAATGTTAACCGAGTATTAATAACACGACGAGTGAACCCTGCTCATTTTAAGTTTGCGCCTTTGACGAGAGCGTGTTTTTTTTTTTGCGTCAGCATTTAGTAAGTTTATTTTAAATATCGCTCCCAGATGCGGACATGCGTCGCATCCCTGACGTGGCCGGTCGGAGCAACACGGAATATTTGTACGTAGTATAAATTGGATCAGCCGACGCGTATATACGTCTGTTTCATTCGGAAACGGAACGACTGGGGAGAACTTGCGCATTGTTCGTCGGCCACGTTCTGGGATAAGTGCAATGGCGAAATAGCAAAGGATAATTGAAATATTTATATCTAAACCAATCAACGCATATGTGCTTTCTTTGTTGTCGCATTATTATGTGTGAGATTGTAGCTGAAAAAGAAAAGAGTAAGCGGATGGCGAGAGAAAGAAAATGAAAGCGGGAGAGGGTGAGAGAGTGAGTGAGCGTAGTGGGTGAACGAGCGACTGAGTGAGTGAACGAGCGACAGAGTGAGGGGGGGGGGGAGAATGAGTGAGTGACTGACTAGCAAAGGGGTGTAGGAAGGGGGGATGAGAAAGGGGTTTAATGAATTAGTGATATTCGCGCGCGAATCCGCGTTTGAGGTTTAAACAGATTCCTTAGCCTTGTGTTTTACGCGTGTACGAGTAACAATGCCTTCATATGTTTTGGCTTCTCACGTGAATTAGAGAATTTCGGGACGGCGAAAAAAATAAAAGTGGAGTGACGCAACATCGCGCCTCGCGCACGGTCGATAATCGCGCGAGATCTCACAGGCCACGGTAATAATTCCCGTCGCGCACGAAGACTGTTAAAAGAGAATTGAAGAAAATAACAAAGTATAGATTAAAAATTGCGAGTCGAGCGTTGTGACCCTTTGACGCTCCGAGAGAAAAGGAAAACAAGTTTAACGATTCGGCTTAGGGGCTTGCTTTCTACGTGATAATGTTAAACGCGTGGCCGTTTATCGTATAACGATTAAGAGGGAATACACACAATTGTCAAGAATATACATATTGTGCTGATCCACGTTTTACGAGTTTCCGTATGATAATAGGATATTAACTCCCGATCGGGGCGCCGAGGGCGAAAATTAGGTGTGTGACAGCTTGAGAGAAGAGTTCTAGTTGAGCCGCGATTTCGTAGCAGAGAGATTTCAATGCAAACGTTAGCTTTTATTTTTTACTAAGAACGCGTCTCCTTCGCGCGCTCTCAACGCCCCGATCGCACCGATTAATCGCGCATTTGATATCGCGGGCCCGTTGGGGCCAGGAGACAAGGTTTAAAAAAAAAAAATATATATAAGAATGCTCTTATTCATCATGTTGTTTATCGTATTATTGATCTTGCACCGATGAAAAATTTTATAGTCGAGGAAAGTATAGTGCGGAACAAGACACGACGCGCCGGTCTTACACAATATAGTCATATAAATCGCGTCGCGTCGTCGAACGAAGGGAGGAGGGAAGGACGCAAGTGGACGAGTTGAGGAGAAACGACGCGAATCATCCAACGGGGCCCCGGACTCCTCCGGGCCTTCCGACGGCGATTTTTTTTCTTTCTTCTTTTCGAGTGGACGGCGCGTGTGACGACACACGGCGGGCCGATTGATAAGGCCGGTGTCCTATCGTTACAGAACACGTGGCGAACGAGGGGGAGGGGGAGGAAAAATTATGAGATTCTACGGGGAAATTTTTTTGAGACAATTGAGTCGAGTGCGAGCGTGTGATAGGGAAAAAATCTGTTTGAGCGAGCGGAGAGCGAGAGAATGAGCGGGAGAGTGTGTGTGTGTGTGTGTGAGAGAGAGAAAGTGACAATGAGAAGAGGGTGAGAGTGAGAGACCTCAAATCGAGCGCGTACACACATCACACATACCGCGCGCGAGATATGCAGATAGGAAACTAATAATTTTTCTTATGCAGCATATAATGTTTTACACATATATATTATATACATATATATTATATATTTAACTGCTACAGGGATATATATATATATTTATGGTCGAGATCGTCGTGGATGTCGGGTCGCGCGGGCCCGTCTTTTTCCTATGTTTCCTTTTACTTTTTGGAACACTTGTGCGATCGGCTTCCGCTCGCTCGGTTTCTCCGCGCGGGATCGCGCGTATCTCCGGGGGGAGGGGCCGGCAAGGATTTTGTGCCTTCAACCAGTACGGGGCCGCCAGTCCGTTTTTTGTATTCGCGAGGTATCAGGGTTCTCCACGTCCGCGTCCGTTTTTTTTCCTCACGCGGGCGAAGCGCACGAGATGCCGGGCGATTGTCGCCGCAGAGGTAAGATTCGCGCGTTTACGTCTCTCGCGATCGGAGGAACGACGCGCAAGTCTTCCAAGAAAGGGGCGGACGATCGAGAGCTCGATCGCGAGGATCTGCGAGAATTGTGCGTGCATGCGAGAGAGGATCAGCGAGCCTGAGGGACGGAGGAGAAAGGTGGCAGCGAGCTATGCGAATGCGAGAGGAGGCGATGAGAGACGGACCGAGCGAGAGAGGGAGAGAATACGCGCGACAGTTGGGGTGCGTGTGTGTGTGTGTGCGTGCGAAAAATGCGTGCGAATGAGTGCGAAGAAAAAAAAATAGTAAACATAATATATGAGGGCTCGCAGCGGCGGTCCCTTCCGCTGCCCTTCGGCGAGGGGCTTTTCGACGTCTCGAGGGACGAGGTCGTGATCCGCGCGCGGCGGATCAATCACATTTAACGTCAATCCTAGCAGCTATTGACCGTACCGGGGAAGGCTGAGAGCTAAGCTGGAAACACGCGAGAAAACTTGAGTAGTAAGACTCGAGATGTAAGAGTTTCAAGCAGTCGGAATTTTCAGAGTTGCTCAAGTTTCAAAATGGCTCTGCTTACGTTCTCGACTGTCATTATTGTTAGGGGATCCAATAACTTGTTTCGACCCTCAGGTCACTTTCTTTGAGTCATTTTCTTTGAGTCTTGAGTCACTTCTTGGTCATTTCTTTCGAGTCCTAAGTCACTTCCATTAGTCTTAAGTCTTGGTCATTTCTTTTGGGTCTTAAGTCACTTCCTTCGAGTCCTAAATCACTACCTGATAATTAGTTTTGAGTCTCGAGTCTTAGTGCTTAAGTTTTTTTTACGCCTGTTCGAGCATGTAGCGGGATCGGTGCCCGTTCGACGCCTTTCCCCGCTCATTAACGGGCCACGCGAGCTCCGATGGTCTCGCGACGCATTGTAAATTCAATCGCCATCGTTTGCGATCGTGTACGACACAGCCCCGGCGTGCGACGAGCTCGTTGTCCCGCTCGGACGCGACCTACGTCGCCGACTACTCTCGGCCGCCGCGCGATCGCGAGACGCTGCTTCCGCTGCGTCGGGAGGGCGCGTCCGCGCGCCCGAGTCGAGGGACAACGCGTATACAGAAAAACAAAAGATAGATCAGAGAAATATTATAGATACATATATATTGCATATTATATATATAAATATGTTATACTCGAAGGAGGGAGACGGTCGCGTGTGACGCGACCACTCCGCCCCCCCCGATCTACGTTTCTGTGAGATCATTGTTTCTAGCGATTTGTTAATTTCATTTCTGTTCTACGACGAACTGGCGGAGAGCGCGAAGAAGGCGATCGAGACGTCGTTTTTATCAAACGCGCGCGCATCTCGCCGACGCTCTCTTCGACGCATCCTCGCGGGGGCTCGTCGCGAGACGGAGGGATGCACCGGGGATGCGAACGCGATCGCGAGCGAGCGAGCGAGTGAGAGAGCGGCCCTTTCGACTACCCTTTTCTTAACTTCTCGTTCCCCTCCATTCCTGTCGACGACGTTTTTCTGCTCCCGCTCGAAGTCTCGCCGACGTAAAGTCTCTCCGAACGAGAACCGTCCCCCGGATTACTTTGCGCCCTGCGCCCTCCGCCTCCCTCTCCCCCAAAGTCCCCTGTGACACCTCGCGACACCGGGATCATCCCTCTTGGTTGGCCCCCGCGCCAATCGAGTCGCGAGCTGGTCCCCCCGTCTTTTCGGCCCCTCGAGCGCGCGCGCGACCGAAGCCCCGCTTCCTCGCGCTTCTCTCGTTGATTATCTTTTCGGTTTTCCCTTCTGTTTCGTTTTCTTCTTTTAGTTGCTTTTACCCTCTTCCCCGTCTCCCCGACGCGCTTTGCTCCCCCCGTGCGCGGCCTCGGTCGCGTCGCGATCAGCCAACGCGACGAACCTACGGACTCGTGTACAGTCGACGTAACGGCGAGAGGCCGTCCCCTCGAACGTCCAACCCCCGCGATTCGCGCCTCCTCCCCGGCGCCCCGAGTCCGATCCGTTCGGGAAAGTCATCGGGTCTGTCTCGTGGACGAGAAACAGACGTCCGCAGCGCGGACGAGACTCTCGGGAGAGCTCGTCGAGAGGGCGATTCGGGGCGCCGGTGAGGCCAGCGAGGGGAGACGCGTGCAACGACGACGACGTCGAGGACGTCGAGGATGACGACGACAGCGGCGGCGACGACGAGGACGTCCCCGAGCGCCGTTACGTCAACTCGAAACGCGGATGGCGTTCCGCTTCTCTTGTCTCGAGCGCGAACGATAGAGAGAGCGTGAGAGAGAGAGAGAGAGAGAGAGAGAGAGAGAGAGAGAGAGAGAGAGAGAGAGAGAGAGAGAGAGAGAGAGAGAGAGAGATTTAAAAAGAAAAGAAAAAAATGAAAGAAACGAAAGAGCCTTTTTTCTCGGCCGACCGTGGGCGGCCGAATGTGGAGGAGGAGAAAGATTGATTATATGCTAAAGAGTAAGCGATGCGCGATTTAACTATAACGAATTGATGTAAGCGAATGGAAAAAAAATCAATACTTTTCATTGAGATGATATCTGGATTTCAATAAACTTGATACCTCGAAACCAGCCGGACAATCGACCCGGAGAGCGAGCGGCGTTTCCGGCCGGCCGGCGGCGGAGGCAGCCTTGATCGCCACCGGCGTTCACCGGCGACGCTCCTCCCTCGATGGGGCTCCCTTGTTTCACTTCTTCTCACTTCTCCGATTTTCTTCCACCACCGACCGCAGCTCCGCTCGTCCGCCGAGCATTTTCGGGGGACGCGTGCGCTCGTGTGACAATTTTTTTTTTTTACGGATCGCAACGGCGACCCGAGAGTGCGGATTTATTATGTAAATCATTGTACAAGTAAGTATCACGTAGCTGTAGCTGTGCTGCAAGTGCGTGTCAAGTTCCGAGTGCATCGACGTCGTGGGGCACCGCAGGAAGGATTTGTGAAGGAACTGGTCTTGAATTGATAGTAAAAATAAAGGAAACAATGATATCGAAAGAGATGTATGTATGAGGGGAGAGAGAGAGAGAGAGCGAGCGAGAGCGAGTAAAAGAACAAATAATAGTCGCGAGACTATCCATCTTTCATCAGCCGACGTGTATAAAAGTTTAGACTAGACATATGTGTGTATGTGCGCGAGGATATTCTCATACCTTTCCTCCTATTCGCAAGATGTGGGTGATTGCAAGAGGAACACGGATTGAACTATTAGTGCATAAAATGGATTGTCGATTGGTATACACGGATAACGGAAGGACTGTATAGAGCGTTTACTATTATCGTGTACGACTGCGATCAAGAAAAGAGATGTTGCGCCGGAGTAGAGGCTTAACGTTGGCCGGACGAGTGAGGAAATTTGTAGACACGAGCAAAGATGCACAAGGCGAGAGGTCTCGAGTTTAAAAGCCGAGGCTGGAAAAGGGACACCGAGATAACGGCCAGCGAGGACGGGCCTGGTGATTAGGTACGGCGTCGAAGAGGGATGTCGATCGGCGTGAGAGCCGCGGCCTAGAGCTACCTCGGAGCGCGCGGGATTGTTATAGAAAATTCGGAGAGTATCTCGAACAGTTGCGACTGACCGCAAGGAAAGTCCGAGGCGCACGATTCCAACTATCTTAATTTCCCCGTTTGCACCAAATAAGATAAAATGCATAATTTCTGCAATATGTCGCCAGTCGGATAGACACGGATTATCGAGCCCGTAATCGACAGGTAATTTGATGCTGTAAGATATGTACATATTTGTATATGTATCTGTACATGTATAAAGAGAAAGAGAGAGAGAGAGAGAGAGTGCGCGAGAGAAAGGGAGATAAACACGAAGGGAGAGAGAGAGAGCTGGTTGCGTAATAATATTCGTCATCCAAGTGACGTCTTCGCCGAATATTCGAAACGATTACTTGATCCATCATTCTTCATATGCTTCTTCCAGAATCCGATAACGAAAGCGCACCGTCGCCGGTAAAATCGCAGCCCAAGGTACCGTATTGCAAGACCTACGAGCAGATGAGACTTGAAGAGATCCAGGCGGAGAGCGCGGCTTATTATTCGTACGAAGCCAGTAACGTCGAGGAACTTTATCAGAGACAAGCGGGTAAATCCAATACGGCCGGGACTAATCGTTGGGTCAGCCCGTCGAGAGTCAAGAAAGACGAGCCGACCAAGGAATTGAGCTTTAAGGTGTTGAGCCTGGAAGAGATCCGGCAACGAAAGAAGGAGAGGGAGTCGGCTGTTAAGACACCGACGGACGCAACGTCTGTCTCAGAGTCTTCTCCGCCGCCGGTCGAAGCGAGGGTCTTGAAGAGGCGCTCCATCGACGAGCAATGCTCTAAGGAGAGCGTCAGTCCGGCGAAGAGGTGCAAGGTCAGCTCCGAGCCGGCCCGGAATAGCGAACCTGTCGTCAAGGCGCGACCGGTGAAACTGCGAAGATCTCTGAAGAGCGCCCCGAGGGAGACCGAGACACAGCCGTGTGGGGACGTGGCGACGAACGATGACCAGGCCTTCGGTTGCGAGAGGCGAGAGAGCCACGGCGACGAGTCGGTTAACAGAAGAGTCGACGTGGAGATCAGGCTGTGCGACAGCAGCACGAACGAGGAGAAAACTCAGACGCAACTGGATCAAACGACGGAGGACAGGAAGTCGGTTGCCACGTATACGACGGAGGACATCATGAGTGCCGCGTTATTGGACGTCGGCCAGCCGTATACGCAAACCGACGAAGAGTACCTGAAGCTGGACACGTCGTCCGACGATATTATGCGGGACATTGAGGACTTGCTCAAGTAGAAAAGCACGGATCGAGCGACTTCGACCCCGAGTCCACGCTAATAAATAGATACCCAGTGCGCATTTCTTCTTTCCACAATGTTTAAAAAGATTTCACATAAAAATAATTTGTATACTTGAGAGTACTTGTACAAATACAGAATTATGTAAAGTTACTCACTACGCGAAAGATTGTATGGTTACAATGGCGATTGTTTAATTGTTGATATCCGTGTTTCTTAAAGCATGTGTTATGTCACATTCGTTTTAATCACAATTGAAAATTATATATACAATAATTTTGGTATATATTATATTATTTCGCATTTCTTTTCGAATGCCACTTTGACATTCTTCTTTTTAATTATGGAGTACGTAAAAAATTGCAATAATCAGTTATCATAAGTAAAAATTAATGACATTCTACGTGTATAATCGGGATAAAATTTAGTGATCGGACTGATACAAAGTGGTACGGCTTTTGTTACGTGTTTCAAGAATAGGACATGCGTAAACGCATGAGAGATTTTTAAAATCTGTCTATACATAACAATAGAGGAGCAGCATAAACTCGTCTTAATGTTTAAACTCGACATCGCGTACACTTTCGCGTATGAGAATTTAAGCCGGATCGAACACGTATCTACTGTACATATATATATTTTTTCCTCGAGTCCCGAGAGCATTTCCTTCTCGCATTAAATTGTGATAACTAGAATAATATTACGTACATGATGCATAATATAAATAATAATAATATTATAGTTATCGCAATTCAATATTATGCAAAATATATATAAGTTATAACAATTATAACTTATATAATTATACTCTAAAACTTATACAATTACGGTATTGTTATATAATAATTATGTAAATGATATATAACAATATATTGTTACATAGAATTATATAATGATATTATGTGCACTGTTGCAATTTATTATATTAATATTATTTGCTGGCTCAACCCACGGATTACTCCTGCTACTTAATAGACAATGCTTGTAATTAAACACACAATTCTTTGGGCAAAGAGAAATAGTTAAACGTACGCAGTTCGTATAGTCCATGTGTTAGCTGTTTGTTAACTTAACTTACAATTTTTGTCGTCTAGCCTCGATTTGAACTTATCCATGAGTGTTCTTTCAGAAGAAATCCAGGGTTAAACGCGCCGGCAGATCGCAATGGATGATTTTAGTGAGGATTTAGAGAATACAACATGTCTTCGAGTGTAAATTAATTATTAAGTTGAAATAAATATACAATTGTTACATTTGCAAGGTAAAACGATGGTCTCTTTCCGCTTGTATCCCGCCTTCCATTATTTTCTACGAGTGATTCGATTGGACGACAATGCGGGGGGATAAGTACAAATATGAGTTATCAGATTGAGAGAGAAAGAGAGAGAGAGAGAGAGACAGAGAGAGAAAGAGATGAACACGTTCGGGAAGGAGCTGCGCTTGATTTCTAATAGGAAACCGCACACGATCGTTAACACTTGTTTGCCTGAACAAATCGGCATTAGACGCAATGTGGCCGGTTCGCTCTCCGTAGATCAAAATTTGAATATATCTAATAACCGGAGAGCGATATCTTGCAAATAAATTGTCCAATTAGAAAACAAGCATTGAGAGAACTCTCGATTAAATGCACACACTATTTATTTAGAACGCATATTCATACGTTTAACATATCTGGCCTAAGGGAAATCACAATCGGCATGTTCGGTCCTTCTTTCTTTCTTTTTTTCTCGAACCTCGCACCGAATATAAATTACAAATTGGTTTTACCAAGTTACTTAGAGAATTAAAGTCAGTTATATATATAATTTTATGTATATATATATATACTGTATAATACATATATAATAATTATATTTATATATATAAGTGACTGTCGGTATTCTCCTTACAATGTACACACAACAAATTCACGTTCACTATCTCCTGGCGCCCTCGTTTCACGAGTATAAATAATAACGTAATACCGACTTAGAAACTATTTTTTATTTCCTCTCTTCCTGCCTATAGAAGTTACACCTACGAAATGTTGCGAATAAAAACTCTCCGCGGGGATCCTCGGGGAGCGATATACTCCTCTTCAATCTTCGCGCTAATTACTTTTACACGAGTTGCACATTGCCGACGATTCTCTCTTTTATTTCCTCTTTGCTTTATTTTACCACGTCTCACCTTGCCCGGTTTCTATCTCAAAGATGTCTCGGCTCGGAAGTATAATTGTACGAATTAAAAGGGAGCTTACAATGGTGCGCATATGTGCGGAACGATGCTTTGAGGGATTTTCCACCTTGCCGATCACTCGGTGTATTACGTCATAAAACCACGGATTGTCACATCACTGATTGGCGTATTAATACGTCTAACAACGATTGCGTGTTCCTATGAATTATATTCTGATACGACATCGAAATAAAGGGGAGAGGGGTGTTCTCTTCGCACATTACGATACCAAACACCGTTAGCGAAAGTGCGGGGGAGCAGCATTAGTCGTTCGCCTATGATAACAATGGAGGGACATGATCGGGGAAAGTGTCGCAATCGCAAATGGTGGATATCAACTTTTTCTTTTAGCACACGGGACACGGGAGTTTATTCTGATGGCGATAAGATTCACGATTATTACACAGAGGTCGATTAATCCGCCTGTAAACCCAATGCCGCTGCATTTCACGAGCACCACACCGTGTCGTCAGTTTACGCAAAATAGAGTCGCGATAGAGCCATTCGGTTAAGTTTCTCGCCCGCACCGGAGATCACAGAGCAAACCTATGAGATCTTCGTCGCGGTTAAGTGAATTCGCAGTGACGTTCCCTCGCAATGAAACGCATATTTTTTTTCCGATGAAAGAAATAGTAATTTCCTTTTAAATTAAAAACCAAGAAAACGAGAGTAGCGGATGCGAATACGGACAGATCAAGCTCGTTCTCCACACCGGAACTTTGGCTTCAACGAAACGGTACGGGTACGATAGCCCACCTCGATTTATACTACGGAACAGTCGCACGCACGATCGACCATAAACGCCGCGGATTTCCGGAGACTTTGCGTTCCACGACCGCGTGTCGTTTTCCCGTAGACGACACGGACCTTAAGCTAGGGAGACGAAGAAGCTCAAGTCTACGGAGACGAGGTCGATATCGACGACCACCACGGTCACTGCAGCCTCGGGGACCAATATTGCGCCGCCATGTCGGGTGCCGGTTGACCTGGTACCGCGATCGGCACACTCACGCCAGGTGATATTAGACCTGCAAGAGAATCCGTGGTGTTCCGTTTAATTTTATGGAAACGCAAAACGTTTCGAGAATCACGTGCGAGGTTCTCTCAATGAAAATCTCGCAATTGATTCGGTTTACTTTCAACACAGTATGCATCTGTAGCGTTTCTATAAAAATCTAAATTTATTCTTTTGTATTGTACTCTTCTCATTTCTATTCCGTATCATAATTTTATTAAGAGATAAATAGAAAGGAAAGCATTTTTATGAAAATCTCGATTTGTCTCTTTTTGTAGGTGTTGTATGTTATTTTCTTTGTTCGTACCTTGTTACACTGATAAAAAATTAATTATTGTAAAATTAAATTAGGACCTTTAAGATATAAATCAAATAGGAAACCTGCAGCTTGCCCGAACCTGAGTAATGATTTGGCGTTCTCGTTTCTATTTGATTTATTTTATTGCCATTAAGAGAAATAATAACACGAAAATGCGATCGATCGGGATAGTAATGGAAGATTGAACAATGCTCCGTATAGCACAGAAAGATTGCAGATATGTTGCGGAATAATTTCAATGAAGGATCGCACTGTTGTGTTGCGAAACATTGCTGCAAGATTGACATACTAGATTTGACGTTCTAGTTGACATTCGTGATTTGATTTTGCACTTAAAGTTATCTTAAGATAACTGATAAATGACTGTAAAAAAACAATTTAAGATTGAACGATTAATTAATGGACTATTACTATCTTAAATTTATTATTTTAAGTAACTTTCATTTATCACAGATATATAGTAGAAAATTATTAGCCTTGTGTTACATAATTTTATTATAATAAAATTATAGAATTATCAGTTTGCAATGTTCTCGAAATATTTATAATATCTTGCTGCATCTCGTGTTTCTGCAAAGTGCCACTCTATGTTTTTATAATGCTGTGCTGCAATTTGCATACCGTAATAATCTGTGCTGTATAGATTAGCAAGACGCCTTGCCAACACGAGTCGCACATCGATCTACCAACACCTACGATCTGCTAGGCTACCGAATAGAAACAAAAAGCGCCGAAGCGGCTAATGTAGGCGATGCAAGCGAGTGATACACTAGGTCACATTTGTACTGGATGTTCGTGAAGGCGCAAGAGGAAGGAGGGGACCGGACACTTTTGGGGAACGAAGGGGGCGAGAGAAGCGTGTATAATCCATTACCGGCGGGCTCGATAGCGTGTTATCCATGGTAGCCGTAGTAGTAGTCCATCGGCTAGAGTGCAAGCAGCGAATGCAGTGAGTGCGGTAGACACTCACCGGTCGAGCTGGCGTTCTGATTGTACTGATTGAGGCTCGCCGCGTGGTAGGGCTGCGTGGGGCTGCAGGTCGGCCTGGCACCGTACCCCAGGTGAAGAGGCTCGTAGCTCGGAGGTCTCGCGACCCCGCACGAGTAGCCGTTGTCCCGTTGCTGGAGGCACGCGCCCGGGCTCGGTCCGACGGTCATGCCCACGGTCATGCCCATCGGGCTCATGCCACCCCCGGTGGACAGCGAGGACATGCTACTCGTCGTGTGCTGGTTCTGCTGGCTGGCGCCCGACATCGTGAAGCTCGGCATCGACGTCATCGGGCTGCAACGCGGAGCGAGACCATTTCGTCAATCGTGCGATCTTGCCAGTTCCCTCCACCACCGAGTGGAAACTATTCTTCGCGAGGCCCGAAGGAGACACGTTTCGCTCAAACTGTGTCCTCGCGGGGAAACCGGTCGTTGTTAACCGTTTGAGCGCCATCAAGCGCGATCGCGTTGCTCACTTCTGTTTTTTTTTTATCGCGGAAAGTACCGGCGATCATTTTCGAGATTCTACTATGCTTTTCAACTCAAACGTTTTTCAGCCATTGGTTAAAAATGAGTAAAAACATGTAGTCATTACGCTATAATTGTGACACGCTGCATCAATAATGTACTATTCGTTAACCAAACTAGTTTACGTTATTACTTTTCTGTATTTCGTTCTACCACGTTTGTTATTTACGTTCCCTTAGTTCGTACAACCCTGTTCATTTTTCTTACTTCCTTCGTACTTCGCGATAATTGACGTGCTACGTTTTTTTTTTGCAATTTTCTAGTTACCAGGTGCTGCTCTTTTCTCTGATATTAGAATAGCATACTTGAATTATTAAATTATTTTTATGCAAGACTCTTTTAAATAAAGTGAACGTGGGACTTCTAAATAGGCGCTTTTAGCTAAAGTGGAATCATAAGATTAATCATCGGACAACTGATCGCATCGCAGAGCCAAGCACTGGATTTAGCATCCACCTCGCACAGCTCAGCCTTCAAAGGGTCGCTGAACTTGGCGCCTTTGCGTTCTCACCTGTACGAGTCGGGCATACTGGGTATTCCGGGATACACAGCGGTGGGCGCGAACCCGTGGTGTATTCTGGGGGGCGAGGGTGGCGCCTGCGGGGGCGGCTGGCCCCCGAGTATCCCCGAGGGTGGCGGCGGCGTCGGGTGGCCAGCACCCACCAGGCTCACGCCGGCGGAGTGCTGCTGCTGTTGCTGCTGCTGTTGCTGCGGCGGCGGCGGCGGATTATCCCTCCGTTGCGTGCGCAATTTCTCCTCGCGCCGCCACTTGGCCCGCCGATTCGAAAACCAGACCTGAGTTAGTGAACGAGAAGACAGACGAAGATACAGGTCAATCGCTAGGCTACGGATAAATCTCGTGTCGGCTGGCAGTCGTGGATGAAACAGTTCGTCACGGAAATCGCGTTTACCCCCTCCCCTCCCCCTTCCCTCTGCGACAATCCCTTAATCTTGCAATGTCGAATTCTATGCTGTTTAATTAAACGATCACCGATCATCGTGATCTTGGTGTTTGCGTTTGTAATAAAAGAATGGACCTGTGTAAGCGCGCGGGACGACATCCCAGCGAACACCGAGCATCAGTTACATTGCACTTGTGTTACAATTTCTCGCTCGACAATGTAAATATAATATGACACATGTGTTATAATACATTCACACTCATCTTATTCTTTTAAGTTTTGAATTCCGCCGTCTTGAATCCGGCATTTTGAATTATGAAAATCTGACAACGGAGTCGTAATCAGCTACCCCAAAAACCTTTGTATACAAAGTCCCCCCCAAAAAACGGTTCAATAGAAAGATTATAGTATGCTTCAAAGGGTTAAAGCTAAATCTTGATTGGCTCTCGTAGGCAATCCAGTAGGAAAAAAAGAGTATCGTGTACCGCTTTTAATTAATAGACGTCATCCATTGGTTTCATCGTGAATTTATTGCTCTTGGAGTCAAATCTGTTCGGTGGAAAATTCATTGTTAAATCGTGTTAGATCGCGAAAAAAGATTTGTGATTGAAGTTCCATGTTGAAAACCTGCTGTCTGATATTAGAAGCCTATTCCATATTAGGGGACTTTCCTCCTCGGTAATTAATTTTGCTGCACTTATATATTTTCTATAAAAATGATTAACGCTACCATTTCCTCGGTTCATTCAACTTGCCCATGTTTCTCACTGTAACTTCGTAATATATAGGCGAAGTGCTACTTCTCTTCAGTTTAGTTGCTGACACTACTTTTTACTTTCTCCGAGTACACACGTCCGTTTCCAAGCACTCAGCTGAATAGTCACCTGTATTCGCGCCTCCGGTAAACCGATCTTGCCGGCGAGTCTTTCCCTGGCGAACACGTCCGGGTAGTGCGTCCTCTCGAACTCCTTCTCGAGCGCGTCGATCTGCTCGTTGCTGAAACTCGTGCGGTTCCTTTGCAGCTTCCTCTTCAAGCGGAGACGCGCCTGGTCGTCGTCGGCGCCGCCCGACACGCTGCCGGCGTTGCTGTTGTCACCCCCGCTGTTCGTCTCGTCCGAGTGCGCGCCACCCTCGAGCTCGGTTACTGTAACAATAAAACGCATCGCGCACCATTATCAACGTCTTTCGCGCGAACGGCCATTACGGCCAATCTCGAGTCTTCTTTTATCGTGTTACACGGCCGCGATAATTTTCGGGCTAAGGGCCTCCTCCGCGGATTAAGTTTCGGGAATTAAAGAGCTTTATCCGTTGACTCGCAACACCGTGCGCAAGTCCACGTCTCCGGAACCTCGGGAGTCTGTCTGCCACAGCGCTCGACGTCGAGTATCAAAAGTCGCGATCCGAGGGGGAAAAAATGCGCCTCGAGGGAAATTCGAGGGGACTTTTCGAAAAATTGTCCCTCGAGCTAATCGAAGGTCGATTAATCAAAAGGTCGCAAGCCGCGGGACGGCAGTTTTTTGTCCGAGTGCCCGTTATCGCTCCCGGATCCGCTCGCGATACCGCCGAGCAAGTTAACGCCTTCCCGACAAGGAGACGGGCGATGTATTATCGATGTCAGGCGTGCGTGATAACGCGGCGCACGATTTGTGGTTTCGCGGCGCTTATCCCCCTCCCTCCCACCCTCGGCTTTCTTATATCAATTTCTACGCGCGACGTGCGCTCGCGCGCGGGCATTCGCGTGTGCACGTGTACGTATCGGCGTGCGTATGTGGACGGGGCGAGCGGTATAGGCAGGCGTCGCCGGGTGAACCTTATCGTCGGTTTCTGGGTGAGCGCGTCGAGGCGTCACCGGGCTCGCTACGACGAAGGGGCGCGGGGGGGCGGGGAGGAGGGAGACGGTGAGGAGACACGCGGGATGGAGCGAGGAGAGGACGCCGGGGGCCGGGGGACGCTACAAGCAAGGGGGCGCCTGATAAGACGACGGGCGTCCCGACGCCAGTTGCCGGCCACCCCCACGAGATACGCCACTGTCATTCCGCGACCTCCTCCCCGTCTCTGCGGGAGAAACTCGAGTCAAAGTCTGGCTCGATGTGACACGTGACACGCCGCTCTATTATTGGCTCCATTATGTTCCACGTAATCAATTCTGTCCTATATATTTTTACATATACACGCTACAATTGGCGACGAGGAATCGTAAATCGTAGGTTTTTTCCTCCCCCTCCCACCCCGTTTTCACTCTGCCTTCAGCGTATTCCATATAATTTATCTGCGTGCACATTTCACACCCGTGGAACGTTATTGGCGATAAGGAAATAGTTTGCTTTCCTTCGTCGGCTCAATCTAGTATTAGAGGATGATCCATTGATCCCCTATTATAAGGATAGGGTCCTAATATGAGACAGCGGGGTTTCTGTTTAATTAATAGGCACATCAGTCGATTCCACCGCGAATTTATTGCCCTTGGAGCGAAATCTGTTTGGTGGGGAATTCATTGTTGGATCGTGTAATCGTTACGAAGAAAGTTTTGCGATTTAATTTAGGTGTTGAAAACCTGTTATCTCATGTTACTCTCTAAAAGTCAATCAGTGAATTATCACTGAGAACAGTGAATAGTCACTGATTTGCAGTTATAAGTATACCAATCACTGTTTTCAGTAATAATGCACTGATTGACTTTTAGAGAGTAGAAACCCATCTCATAAGAGAGGACTTTCCTCTATAGAATTATTTGAGGACACATCGTTTTATGACTTCAAATTGCTTTACGGTCTTTAAAAAAATCCTATAAAATTAATAATATCACGGGAAATATTTCTCGAAAAGAAGGACGGAAGAATGAGTCGATCAGTGTCCGACTTAGATGTTTCCATCTTTTGTGAAAATATTATCTCGTATTGTCTCTTCGTCGCAATGTATTCGCGATAACGGACTGCGAGCAAGTATCGGCGAAGACACCGATAATATTTAAATTTGCAATACAAAAAGCTGGGAGTCAATTTTGTATCTTGCTACAGTGAAAATGCTAAAAAGTGAATAGTTTCCTCTTACGAGCTGTCCCCTTGAAAATCGCTTTTAGCATTTTCACTAACCCCATGGCTCTTCGATCCGCAACACTTCTCGCTAACGAAGTAACGAAGCTGCGCGGACAATGGTTATCACCCAGATAGCATTGCCGATGTCATCGGGCTAGCGTGTCACGTTTTCCATACATGGCGTCAGATTTAGAAGCGCCCGCGGGACTCGGCGGGAGGGAGGGGGGGGGGTAACGAAAACGTCCGTAATAATCGTCGTATAAGCGGCAAAACCCGGGAATACAACCGCCCCTCGTGCCTCCCCTCGCTCCCTCCTCTCCACGTGACTCGCTCGAGGAAATAGCTGGCAGACGGCCACGCTGGTAGCGGCAAAGTTCTCGCGGCAGGGTTGGCTGCCTCCAACTTCCACCCCCCCGGCGTACCGAGGAGAATCGAGTGCGACGTTGGCGTACAAGTTCTCCCTTCCTCCCCCCCCCCGAGTTTCCCCTCGTCTTCTGTGTCCTCCTCATCCGCCAACCCTGAGTTGCTCCTTCGTAACCGTGCACTGCAAACGATATCCTCAGGGGCGGCCCTCCGTCGGTATCTATACGGCGCGGGGTTAACGCTACGAGGGTGTCTTAAGCGGTAATTAAAACCGCCTTAGCCCTCCTACCCCTCCCCCTTTCCTCCTTCTCTTCCACCAACCTCCCTCTCCCCCCCCCCCCTCCCTCCCAGCATCCACCCCTGCGGAACTCGAGGAGCAACTTCGGGCCTTCGTGGTTGCTGGATCTTGCATCTTTGCTATCGCGGGGCCAAGTCGCGCCGCGCTGCTCATCGCTTCTACGCGGCGTACTCGCGAGTTTAACGCCGACGCGGGGCTCGAGCGTTCAAGGGGAGAAGCTTATATCGTGGGAGCGCGCAGGGAGCAAATCGGCACCGACAACACGAACCGCCGACCAAAACAATCTATGTATCATTTTTATTTGACGTATCCGTGCCACTCGATAATGCAACACGTTGTGCTACAATTGAATCGTTCAGAAATTTTGCTGACGTATCAAGCTGTTCCGAGAGATCTTTCTTAATTGCGAGATTTTTTTTTATTCGCGAATAAACGGCAATCTTCAAAATTCGGGTGTATTATTTATATTACATCGCGCTAATTAGGCTAATTTTTATGTAATATCAATACTTATCGCATACACATCGGACCGTCCCGCCCGAAATAAATTAACGCGTGTCAAGGAATACCATGTTCCAGGCGCTTTATATTGCTGTTTGCGGGAAATAATTTGCCCGGCGATTTACATTTCCCTTTCAAACGCTCGATGCGTTCACGCGTAAATTATCTCGAGTCCTTTAGCGACGGCAACATATCATCCGCTTGTACCTTTTAACAAACCGAATCTCTAAATCTCAAAGATTCTAAAAGTGTCACAGCTCCAAATATGTTTACGCGACCTGCTGCGCTAAATGAGCGGAAACAAGACCGGGGGGGGGGGGTCAAAGAGAGACAAAGGAAAGACAAAAAAAAAAGAAAGGAACCCTCCTAAGTTCATCTCCGCACGTAAAGAACGTTGGGAAGGCACGCGGGACCATTTTACCCGTGGAGGGGAATCCACGCCATCCAGGCAGTTTCTCGTCCCCTCTTCCTCCCCCTCGGCCGGTGTCCCCGTCCCCCCTTCCCCGTTTCTGGCCCCAACCAGATCATTCGTATCTTCCTTCAACGAATTATCCGCCAACCGGGACTGCCGTGCGTTCGAGCGTGATGGCGGAACTATTCGAGGTTTAATCTACCAACGTTGTCGCCAATGCATTCGATATTCTTTCGGTATTCTCTCGCGCGAGATTGTTCGCAATTGTTATATATGTTACGTGCATATATAGAGGAGAGTCCTCTATTACGAGATAGGGCTCTAATATGAGATAGCAGGTTTTCAACGTCCACATTCAATCGCGAGTCTCTTTTCGATTACACGATCTAACAATCAATTTTCCGCTAAAGAGAGACTTCGCTCCAAGGGCAATAAATTCATGGTGGAACCAACAGATGATGCCAATTAATTTAGCAGAAAAACTCCGCCATCTCATAGTAGGGGACCGTCCTCTAGCTGGCATCAAGAATGTCTTTGAGGCACTAATGTATGTAGAGTTAAAAAGTGCTCAGACCGCGATATAGGAAAAGAACTCGTTAGTGTGTATATGGACGGAAAACATACCTAAAGTTAACAGAACATTTTTATTTATCAACTAATCAGAATCCCTCAATGTCGCCAGCGGTAATTAACAACGCTAGTGTTTTCTTGACCATACCTGGCATCTTTAATAATACAGCAAATTTATTGCGAAAAGTATTACCTCTAGGCGGGCGTCTCTCTGTAGGAAGGTCCAGGTTCAAACCCTGGCTGGGGTAATATTTTTCGCAATAAATTTTCTGTATTATTAAAGATGCCAGGTATGGTCAAGAAGACACTGACGATTTTAATTTATGCCGAAACAGAACGGGTTCATGAGTCTGTGGCAGCGAATTCATAATATCAAAAGATAGAACATGCTTCGCGTACACAGGGAGAGAATTTTCTCTTAAAATTTACCCTGAAAACCGTGTAATCGTGGGACGACGTGGCATTTTGAAAAATTCTCACAAAGTTTTACTAGTAAAATGTATGATAAAATTTCCAAAACTCATAAAATTCTCCGAAATGCCATGTCGTCGCACGATTACATGGTTTTCAGGATAAATGTTAAAGGGAAATTCTCTCTGTGCAGTTAGAAACAATATCGCCAGTTTTACAAACAGAGATCGATTTGCGATTGTCGGAGTGCGCCGGGAGACCCGCTCGACTCGTGTAGTCGAATGGGCGATCGACAGGCAAGAGAGGAGACGTTTATTAACGTCGATAATGGAGCGGTGTGCACTTAGCTAAACGCTTTAAAGACGGGACCGGCATTGTCGCGCGAACGTGCACGGCCGCGACAATGCCGCGCGCTATTGCGAGCTCGCGGGCATTGTGGCTCGCGTATCGGTAGTTTACTTTCAATCGTCGCGCGATCGGGCCAGGGGTTACAGGATCATCGAGGGTAGCCAGTACGAATAACAAGAGCGGAGAAACAAAGGATCCCGGAGAGA